TTCTTGCCCAGTCCCCCCTCACTTCCTCCCTCTCCATTCTCGTGTTGGTTTTCACAATTAGATGCAGCTATGAAGCTTGTAAATGACTTCTAGCTACAAAAGCTGACAGGCTGGCTTCATGGAAATCAGAGACAAAACTCACATTGATTTCTTAAGAACCAGAACTTCATCTGCAGTGTAAAAGGCAGATCACAGATCATGAGTATTGTACTGCTTTTGCAAGAGTATGAGATGAGCAGAACTGTCATTCTGGCACTGTTTGACGCAAAACCATTTTGAAGCTAGTCAACGGCTGCATTCAGTTCAATACGTAGGATGGCTGTAAGTCAGCTGAAATTATTTGCTCCTCGGTTTCCTCTAATATGATAATTTGGGCCTCATTTTCAAAAGAGGTCACATACAAGGATGCTGGTAGGTAGACATCTCAGTCCTTACTGAAGCCTCGACAACTGAAATGCAGTTTCAAAACAACTTTTATTTTGCTTGAAGACTTATTACAATTTTCAAAGCAATTTAAAAACAAGACACAGCTCCATTAACTCTATAGCTTCACAAAACTTCAAGGAGGCATGTTTTCATTCTTGCCTTGTAAAGGCAATTTACAACCCACTTTACCCTCCACCTCCTCAAAGACAATCTAAAAAAAAGTAATCTTAATGTTTTAAAAGACATTTAACAGAACAGAGCTTTATTTTTAAAAACAAGAATAAAAAAAATAGCAGCATCTTGGGCAGCTAATGCAGTCTCATTAGGACAAGTGCAATGTAATGTTACCAACTCCCACAGTCCGGTTCAGTCTTCAACTGCAGTAAATACAACATGATTCTATATAAAATGTTGCGTTTTGGAACCTTGTCCCATGGGAGGCATTGTGCTTTGAGCTGCCCATTTCTAAAGTGAATCTGAAAAAAAATAGTATCAGGATTCACTTTCCGAACTTAATATCATGCATAGCAAAAGCACTGTGTGAAAATCAGCGGAAGTTTTCCCCATTAGAAGCATCAGAATGTTTTCCCAAGCATTATTATCTCATTGCCAATTACAAGACAAAGCCATTTCTTCACTACAGAACAGTTGACACCAATGGAAAATTTGAAGATTTGGTTTTACAGATTGCTTGACAAGATTTCTTAGATAACTAAACCTTACAGACAAGCTTTTTTTTTTTGCCTTTTTTTTTTCTTAAAAAAAGAAAATATCCCACAACACATAAACTCAGTTATCTAACTGTATCTGGAAACATGCTGCACCCACAAAGGTCTTGTGTGCATGTGTGTGTGTGTGATCCTTTAAAGAAGGTTAATGATATCATTTACTGAATTCAGCAAAATGATAATGTTTAGTGAAAATGCACCTATACTGGGATCTATTCATACATAAAAATAGCAAGTGTGCACGCATATGCACAGATACACATCCCCAAATGTGAAAATTCAAGTTTCAACTCAAGAAAATCAGAAACTCCTGTTTGTGGATTTTGGTTCTGTGTTATGTCTCATACCTTCCAAAGGCCTCATGAAAGTGCTGCTGCAGTGCAGCATCACTCAGGGATTTAAAATGAAACAAAAAAGATCCTCAAACAAAAAAAAACCCACAAAAACCAAAACAAATTCTACCCTTGAATCATATCAGATGGAAAAACTACATGTCAATCAAAATACAGAAAAGCACCATGTTTCTTCAGTTATATCCATGTGCTTTTTTCTGTCTACATTAGTCTGCTTGAGATCAAATCAAAATTGGAGTGAACAATATAGTACATTAAGGACAAACAACTCTGCAGTGAATAGGGCCTTTGGCAGCTCTGTGCATTAAGGAGGGAGGGAAACACAGAGGCCACACAATATGTAAGTACCAAAGAAAACCCACTCATGCCAATTGGAGGGTGTAAGTGATCCTTGCGAATTGCACAGACCCTGTGTGGGTAGAACTTCCACTTCGGAAGCCCTAAACACTCAGCCTTACAACATAGTGCTTATTACTCATAGTTGCTTGTGCAAGAAAAGCAAGTGCCAAATTTGCACACACATTTTTTTTTTCCTCTGCTACAACCACAGATGAAGAGAAGTCATACAGCATGACAGGAATAACTGATATCCCATACTGGACTGGGCACGCTAAGGATATGGCCCACTGGCATAGCAGAGGTTTTCTTAATATAAGGAAAATTAGATCCAAATGCCTAACTATGATAAAATTTTTAAACAAATGCTACGTGAAACATCAATTCAGATTATATATATTTTGCCTATAAAGAAAGAAATACAATTTTAATCTTAAAGTATTTAACATTCAAAAATTAATATATGTTGAAAGAGTATCTTGAATTGCTACAAGTGTTAAATTGTTGTATACTGAACTAATTTGTAACTTCAAGCCCAGCAGTATAACTGGCATGCTAGAGTAACTGTTGGTGCTCTTCATAGTAAAACCCGTTACTAGTAAACCAAATTTACATGGTCCTACAGGCCTGAAAAGAGTGTGGAATTAGGAAAGGAAGGCATGAAGACTAAAATTCTATTAAGAAAAAATATTCAGAATAATTTTCTAAGTGATGACTATTCCAAAAGCATTAATGTTGATTGAATCTTGTTTCCCAATATAAATTCTAGTAAGAAAATACATCTATAGGAAAGCAAAGACAATCCACTAAAAAACAAAGAGCGCAAAATCAAAATAAAATCAAAAGCCTTACAGCCTTGGAAATGAAGGAATAATATAACAATCAAAAGATAATATAAAAGCTACTGGAGACTGGCAAATTTCTTATCATTTCCAATGGCTTAAAAAGCACTGCATACTTTGAATTAAAACACATGTGTCTCTACAACAGAGCTATTATAAGAGAACTTCATGGGTCTTACTCTTCTGATTGTGTGTGCAACTCACTTTAATAGTAATGGGTCTTGTCATTGCACAAGTGGGGAAGAATAAATTTGTATGTTAACTTAGTCAAACCTTATTCAAGATTTATCTGAACTTTATCAGTTTGTAATGTGTGAATTTCTTCAGTAGTCAGGACAAAAAATAACCACTGCAAACCATTCAGAGTGAATTGTCCCAGAATTCTAAGTAATTCCTAGCTCTAGTGGGATTAATGTATGTTTCCATTAACTAAACCATAATTCTGTAAGTCTATGGTGCCTGAAATTAAAGCAGTGATCACTTTGATACTGCCTCAGTCTACAAACTTATGAAAATAAATCAAAGACAGTAAATATTATAGCCTAATAATTTTCAAATCAGACATTTTCCTGTCCTAAGTAGCTCTATGTTGTATCCAAATGTTCTCAGTAAAGGTGGGAGCTTTTTTTCTTTTCATAATACTAATACAAAAAACAAACCTAGGCAACAGATTAGAGAAACTTCCTTCATATGAAATGAAAATACATTTACATGCTGACAAAAATTCTGCCACAGTAGGTCAAGAAGTCATTTATTTACTACAAAGAGTAGATTAATTCTAAAATCTGAACTATCTACCCAAGTAGCAAAATATCCCCATTTTTTTCTGCAATCACCATTAGAGAAGAATACACAATTTTTTGTCTTCCAAATACAAAGACAATCATGACAGAAATTCAAAATGCTTCAAGAAGCAAACATAGCATGGTACCGTATTCTAATATATCTCTGAAACAATATTGTTGGACTCAGTGATATTTTGTAATGTCCATATATTTTTTTTTGTTGAATAAAGCAGCTTTGAAGCTTATCAGGCACTGCCCAACAAAATATTTAGTCAAGAAAAAAAATTACAAACTTTTAAAACCTTGAGCTAGTAGCTCAATATTCTATACAAAGAAAATTGTAAAAGATTTCATAGTTTTAATTCTGAAGTCAACTCTTGCTGGCTTCCTGTACATTAAAAAAAAACAAAACTAAAATGAAAAACAACAACAACAAAAAACAGAACCCCTCCTCCCAAAAAACCACCACCACCAACAAAAAAAACCCAAACAAAAAAAAAAACAACCACCAAAAAACGCCCAAAAAACCAACCAAACCAACAAAACCTAAAACCAACCAAATGACAAAATGAGTAACAAAAAATAATCATCAGGAAAAATATTCTCAGGCAGAAAGAAAGAAAAAAAGAAGGAAACAACAAAGAAAAAACAGCTTAACCTGTAGATACGCTTGAGAGAAGACTACAGCCTAAAGAAAACTCAGTATTGCATAGCACAGTCTAAGAACTCAGCTTTCAGCAAACAGAAAGAGAAGCAGTTTGGTATTGATAATTTCCATCAATGATAGTTAAGTCATCCAATCCTATGTACATTATTATATACTGTATGCCATTGAAAGTCCTGTTTTCTTCAGTCCTAAAACAGGATTTTTAAATGTCTCAACAAAACACTTCCTGGCACTTTGCTATAACAATTACTCCAACCAACATACTGTAACTGAAGTCCTTTTAAAGTGTCCATTAGAAATGAAAGTGCCATTCTGCTACATATCATTCATCAGAAACAAAAAATCCACAATGCTCTGTGTCTGGATCCACTGAGTGCAGCAACACCAAATCCATGCCAGGTTGTGACCATGAAATTCCAATAACTGAATGACAAAGAACTCTTACATCTTGTGTCTGCAGAATCCAAAGTTCTAGCTGGTAAAGCTTCAGAAGTGGTCGTAAACAAGCACCATGGTTAAAGGCCTCTATGTCCCTGCAGGGAGATCAGGTTAGGATTTCTCTCGCTTGTGTTTTTCTTCTCTTAATTAAAAAAAAGCACTTCAGATTAGAAATGTACATTCACAGCTTCATGCTGTGATCTCTCCCACTGCAGTTGTGAAGGAAAGCTTTAGTCCCATCTGAAGACAGACAGCTTTCATACTGCAGCTCAAATTCTTGAGTAAGGCTGAAAGGAGCCTTCTCTCTCCAGAGGCCTCAATGATGTCAGATTTTTTCTTTAGGAAAAATACAACAAAACAAAAAAACCACCCCAAAATAACAAAAAAAAAACCAAAAAAACAAACAACCCAGAGTATTAAGATCTTCATCGCCTCTGCTGAGCATATACTGGGTAGGCTAGTGTGACATTGAGAGAGTCATTGTGCTGCACAAGTGATGTGTGTTGGTAATGTAGAACCAGTTCTTTGAGCGAGTTGTACAAGTTATATGGCTCTGCAAATCCATACCCAGTAGGTGTTTTGTTTATCACACAGTGTTTTACTTCTCCATCCACCCTAAAGAAGAACAAAAGGAACCAGGTTTTAGTTTGTCAGTACAGTAAAGTTAAGCTAGAAAATAAGGTATTGGCAATGAATCTTAAAATGCTAGTCACTACATAGTATTCCTGTCTTTATAAGCCTATGTTTAACCCAAATTCCCAGATGTTGTGTTAGCTCAGGAGGCAGGAGATAGGCAGAACTTAGCAGCTGCACATAAAGGAGTGCATCCATGCTTTGGTTTCCTGTCTTATCTGTGGGAGTAGCATGGGTCTGAGCTGTGTAGGAAATAGAGCAGCACTAGGGATGGCCCAGGGACTCGGTCTGCTTCTAAGCCCAAAGGTCCCATGGGATCCATGCACATGCAAGTGTCTATCTGGCCCCGGCTCAAGGTAGTTGTCTCAAATGTTGGTTGGACCATTCACAAATTAGGGTACGTACACAACAGAGCAGGCATAGCAGCCTTGTTTGCTGCTCTCTCGAACAAGGAATGTTCCATCACGCTTCCCCCGCAGCAGATTTTCAGCTTGGCTTCTATTGATATTTCCCACATTCCATGTTCTCTCATCATGATGGGGCAAGTCCTCATCATCTTCCACCATAGAATATTGGCTGTTGAAATATGACAAAACGTGTTTGTGAAACACATAGCAGAGCAAAATCCATTACTTAAGTAGTCCTCACTTCATATTACTGGAAAAAGTGTAAGTCAGTGGTTAATAGGATGCCTCCCTGGTAAAACTACGGATATAAACCATGTAACTGCATCATTTAAACCACTGAATAAAAACAAAATTTAAGTTCAGGTTCTTGTTTCTTTTTAAAACACTCATGTAAATCTGGAGAAGGATATAAAAGGATGCTGTTTTATCTTTCAGATTCTGTTGCGAGCACTTCAGTACTTCTGCTGTTCCTCACTGCTTTGGTAAATAGCAAGCCCAATTAAATCAATACCCTCTGAGTCAGCTTTATTTCCAAATATCAGAACACATGGTCAACAATGAAAAATCATGCAATGTATCAATTACAGCTGCTGCTTGGGAAAGCTATAAGGAATTGTACAGGTAGACAGATTAATTATTTATAGGGCACATGGCTTTGTGGAAAGGCTGGAGTATTAAAGTGCTGTCTCTCTCCCTATAACCAGATTATGAGAATAATATGGGGTCTTCTCTACCAGAACAGCCACCATAATGCTGATTCAGAGTTATAGGAAACCCTCCAAGCTAAAGCCCATCACGAAAGAAGATGTCTCTGGTTCAGCTGAGTGGACACCACTTTGATTTTCTGCAGTTGCAGAGCTCCCCACTCCCCCAGGAGCCTGCACTGGTGGACCCTGCCTCTCCTGCTCAGCTTGCAATCAGTCTGTGGCTAATGTATTTATACTCTCTGTAATAGGTTTTTAATTGGTTTTCCTTGGTCTGAGAAAACATGCCTTCTCCCTCATCCATATTTCTGTCTTTCTGAAGGTGCTCAAAGTAATCTACAGAAATCGGCAATCTCATACAGAGAGAGCGTGAGACTGTACTAAGACTAAGTGAACAACATGGCTTTAAAACATGTATGCCATTTTTATCCCCTGCTTCTACCAATGCAGCCACAGCAAAGATGCACAACTTCCAGAATAACAGTAGAAGGCTCAATAAACCAAGAAAAATTAAAATAGATATGGATAAGGCCAGAATGTAAATCCACAAAACAGTCATTGTCAGTCTGCTGCTTCTGCTTTGTGTTCAGCCAGACAGCGTAAAACACATGCAAAGGCAATTACATAGGCAGAAAATGTCGATACGAGTATTACTCGGAGAACTTTGTTTTTCTATTTGTTCATTCTTCACTGTTACTACACTTTTGATATTATTTTGTGGCTTGCTTTTGTTTAAATTTGGTCTACATTCACACCACTCAGGTGCTTTTTGCTTTTTTCCCAGAAATGAAGTGAAACTTATTCATTAGCCAAGGCTCTGTCAGAACTTGTAGTAAGCTGAAAAAAATTGCTGAAATGACAGACCACTATCCTGCCATTTCCCAGGAAACTTAACCAGACCACAAAACCAGAGAAGGACCACTCTTCATCATATACAATTTTATCACTTCTAATAGTAATGTAATACACTGATGTGGGTATCACTATACTAGACAGCACCATGGCACCAACACTTGAAATCTGGAAAACGCTTGCCCATGCCTAAGAGATCTTCTGAACAATTTGTCCATCCATATAGCATCTCTATAAGATACTAACACGTTATGATCTTTATTTTGCTGGCAAGAATAAAGACACAGGTTAAATTCCAGTGCTTTGCTATAGTAACTTGATTACGCATTTTCCTGAATAATGGAGAGCAGGAAGTGAGACAGAGTCCTTTCTAGTACTTGCATGATTTATGCTGCCATGTGCTAAGAATATGCATTGTTACTGGAGACCTAGACTTGTGATTTCCTCTGTGTCCTGGAATTAAATATGCTTTATCTCACTGCCATGTAAGATGATTTGAAATACCAAAAATACTTAAATCTTTTAATACTCACTCTTCAGCATTTTCATTTCCAAGCCATTCATTAAGCTTCTTTTGACGAACACCTTTCTGAGTCAGCCACCTGGACAGTAATTGCAAAGACAATGAATTGTTAGTCATAGAAGTTGGATACCAATAATAAAAAAAACAACTTAAAAAAAATTCATAATGATACTCACATCAGGTACTGATCTCTTGTCTTCCTCAGCTGTATGAGGTCTGGCTTAATGCTGTTCATACGCTTGTCTATCTCTCTATATTCAGCAGCTTGCTTCTTTAAATCCTCTTCTAATCTGCGCCTGCTGTCCACAATTTCACTTATTCGAGACTTGAGTTTTTCATAGTTGTGCATAATTCTGAATGGAATAATGTGAATCACAGAATCATAGAATCATAGAATACCAATGATGCCTTATTCATAACTTTATAATCTGCTATTTAGTGGTGTAGAGACTTAAGAGAACAGATTATGTCTCTAGATGTGGCTATACACTTTGCAAGTTCAAATCTACTCCATTTGAGGCTTTCTTTACTTACAACTGAACAACTTTAAACTTGCCATCTTGCAATCTATACTTGGTGTTGTTTCTTTCTTCAAAATCATACAATTTGAAATGCAAATACAAATACTGACCTTTGTATTTCTTTTTCATTTCCTTCTCTTTTGAATTTTTCAATGTATTCCTTACTGTATCTTTCTTGTGTCTGGCACTGCTCTTCAAATATTTTTATTGTTTCATTAAATGCTTCAATAGCTGTTCTTTTCATTTGAATTTCCTGAAAATAAAATAGTTGTTATTACAGTTGTTTTCAGATAGAGGGGATGATTTCTTGGCTTGCATCACTGAAACACTTCAGTAAATTGTAACAGAAAACTTCCAATATCTCTTTACCAGAATGCACACTGTCTGCAGAGCCTTATAACACATGGGACAGGCCTATGCAAAAGGCCACTATGAGACTCTCTATGATGAGGTTTTCCAAGAAAGAAAAACTGCTAGATGAAGAGCTAGCTACAATCTTTGTTTTGTATAAATATGTTTTATTTGTGATGATTACAGCCTTATGGCAATGCACTTTGCCCTTTGTACCAACTAATGTCCTTAGAGGTACACCTGGCTTTCTGAACTAGAAGTGTAAGATATTGGCCTGGACAGGTCTCAAAAGGTCCTCTAGTCCATATTCCTGCCCCTACATAGCTAGGCAATAGCTAAGTCTTTTAAGAGCTTAGTTCAAGCTGTCTGCACTTCTACACCTTTCTTCAATTATTTCAGGTGTATTTCCTGCACATTTTAAGAAGAAGTCTTGTTTCTGAGTCTGTAAACAGCACTAATTTACTGGCACTTAAGACTTGGCTAATAATTAAGTTGAAAGAAGGATAGAGGCAGCTTTTCATTCCTGCACACGTCATCTCTCTACCCTGCATAGGTGAAACCAGACCCTTCAAAAACTAGTAATACATAAACCTCCCCTGCAAATGCGTCTTGAAAACCACAACTCAGCTTAATGAAGTCAGTATGCAGAAGTCTTGACAAATCAAGATAGTTCTGTGCTTGCTTTGGATGCAGATGTCAGACTTGGGCACAGGGTGGGTTAAGTTACAGGTGGTGATGGTTCAAACATGAGTAAGCGATTCTGCTGTACTGAGCAAGCACATCAGATATGTTTCCTCTTCTGGGCAGTGGTAGTGGTGGCGGAGGAAAGGGGGAGGAGGATGGAGGGCAATGGCAGTATGAATTTAAAATAATATTCTTCTAAATCTACAGAAGTCTTCCACTATCCCTTTTGTTTCAAATCTAGCTCACCTGAGATGTTCTTGTGTAGTCTTCGTAGAGTCTGTCATATTCTCGGCTTTTTTCTTGGAACTGGGTATTATATTCATGTAATTTCTTTCCCACTGCTTCAATGCTATCCTCTTTCACAACTTGATCCTGGAATGATCACCAGAAGAAAAGATACTCCATAAAGAAACAATGATATTGCACGGATTTGCAGGATAACACTGGTTAAAAATGCATAGATGGTTACATGGTAAATGTGACTCCTCTTTAATCAATACAGAGATATAATATACTGTATTCATAATGCACAAATGAGAAAGTAATGAAGAAAAGAAATTTTGCATTGCAAGCATTCAGCTTTATCCCCCAAATTATACATTTCATCATTAATGAGTGGGATGTTTATGAACAAGATTATTTCCTATGTATCTACAGTATTTGAAGTTTTAATTATTTATATGCAAAGTGTGGAGTTTATTTTAAACAAAATATCCATTTTTATACCTACTTTATTTTTTCAAATATTAACAGAGCTAAAGTTCTTCATGATAAATGACTCCGCACTCTGCAGTAATTTCTATATATTTAAATGAAACACAAAGAAAATAGACCAAATTACCTGCTGGTACTTTGATACTGGATACAGTAATTTCACGTCCAGTTTAGGATTATACTGGGCTAGAGATTCATTCCGGTAGTGGTTTATTAGCTCGACCACAGAGTTGAAAGTTAATGGGTCAGAAAAGCCGTATTTTCCATCTCGATGAAATATTTTGATCAATTTGTTATTTCCTCCTTTCCTGCAAATGAAGTTTGTTGAAAAGTTAGGCATACTTCCAAGTACTGTTTCCTAAAGAACACTATATTTTCAACGCAGTATTGCATTTTACTGTCAAGTATTACAGACCTAGCATAACTAATCTTACCTCAGTGTAAGTGTGTAATCCCCATGCATTTTGGTTGAAGCATCCCGTACCAAAAAGGTACCATCAGCAGTGTCTCGAAGTTTCTCATTTACTTCTTCTCTAAAATGAAAGCAAAAGTAACCAATCATTTCAGCTACTTCTCACTCATTTATCCTCTCACTGTGCTCTAAATTTTGTTCTAAAATAAGGTTTTTTTATAAGCATTCTTGATCACCATATTAATACAGTTATTTAATAGCTTATTTAACATTGCTGGAGAACAACTGTGATATAAAAATGGTCTATCCTATGTCCTCTCACTGCTAGACAAAATTATATTAATGCAGAGGTCTTTCTGCCTGTTCATACAAGCCTGCACAACTGGAGCAGCCAGTGCTGGTCTAATGTATCTATATATAGTACAGTTAAAAATGTTGCTAATATATGGCACTTGTTAGTCTGACTTGTTAACTACTGTGCATACAGTTGAGGTTCTGGATGAAAGACTAGATGAAAGAAAACACTTATTTCTTGGTGCTGTCCTTTCATTCTAGCATTTTGTCTTAAAGTAACAGTAATCATCTCACATACTACATTCTAATTGACTGCCAGTAACTTTTTAGTCACATTTGGAATAAAACCAACTGTTAATATGTTTGTGTTGGAGAATATTCTAAAAATGGCTCTTAGAACTGTATTTTTGTCTACACTTAAGCATAACACATGCACAGAGAATATCATAGCAAGAACATAAAGCCAAAGAAATGCATGTCTTGAGCTGATTTACCTTGAGATATCTCCCCAGTACCATTCAGCATCTTGTAATGACATATTGTTATTCATGCTGTTGTTAGTTACTGTATTAGGTTTTGGTGGCTTAGGAGGCAGCGCTGCAGATGAAAGGAGAAAAAAAAATTATAACTCATTGAAAACCTGACCATATATTCCTTGAAATTATTACATTATTATATGAATGAAATAAAAAAAAGAGTAGTTACAGAATAGTTTTCCATCACTAACACTCTCTAGAAGACATTAGAGGAATCAGGATATTTTACTGAAAACAATATAATTTAACAAGAAAGACATGCTGTTTCAAAAAAGTATGTTACCCGTGCAGTAGTATATTTTAAGCAAAATATAATACCATACTCATCTCCTCCCCCTGTGAAGAAAGCATTTGAGAACAGAAAATTCTGAAGTTTGCTTTTCCCTTCTTCCACTATCTTCATGTGAATATAAATAATAAAACATGTAAAATTTCAGGCTTTTTTCCTCCTATGTAATCATCTTAGAGGAACATTGCTGCTTCCTCACTTAGAAGCTGAGTAATAAAAGATGCAAACCCACAGCAATACTGTATATTTTAAGAAGAACTGGGTTTTTGTGATCCTCAGCATTCTGTGCGATGATTTGCCAAAAAACACTTTAAGAAACCCATCTGTGACCCAGATATGCCTTATGTTAATCTTAGCATTCTACAGAATAAATTGTGTTCCAAATGCCAGGACTGATTAAAAACCACATCCCCCTCTTCTCAATGTCAAAGCTGCATACGTATACCAGTGGGTGCCAGAGAAGATACTGCAGTACTTCCGACTTAGTAGCAAGGGGGACTACATTGGAATCAGGATTAAAAATCAACCCATCTCTTTTAGCTCTCCAGTAAGCACATCATTCCTTACAAATCTCCCTGACATATATATGACTGGCTACAAAAGACGATGTTTTTGAAGTCGCAATATATAACAAGATAGTGTAGTATTTTTATAAGATGTGAAAAATTATGCAACACCAGGTATTCAATTAATATTGCTAGATTTTAAAATCTGCTTTTCCTCAACAATGCAAAACAATGATTTGTAATCACTTTTTCAGGAAATAAAAGTGTTACTACAGCATCTCCTTTTAGTCACATTCTGCAACAGAGATAGCAAAAATAATAACAAAAGAAATACTAAATTTTTATGATATAATAGCAGAACCAGAACGACATCTGACAGAATAAAATCAAGACAGAAACAGGTCAATTCAGTAAAAATTCAATTAAGTAAGCAGACAGGTAATTCTACAGGTTACGATTTTAATTACTATAATCATGCATTAAAACCCAATGTAATTCTAATTTATGAAAAAAAGAAAAATTATTTGTATCAATGAAAAAGTACAGAAATCCTACACATCCAGTAAGAATTTTTCAGCAGCTATCGTAAAGACCAAAATTAATTAAGTCTTCTATAGTAAGACTGCAGCTTTACCTGGTGGATCCATCTCTATGTAAAACATCAAGTCTGTGCCACAGTTTACATCTGCCTTAGGATATTCTATATCCAGTTCTTCCATATTCCAAACAGTATTGTACATCTGTATGAGTTTCACTGAGTGAGCTCAAATGCAAGAAAAGAGTCAAGCTCTCTTTGTAATGGTGTCTTGGAATTAATTTTAAAACCTATAAGGGGGTGCACTGTAACCTATTACATCATAATCCTCAGCCAATCATGTCAAAATAATGTCACCAGACCACTCCTGTTTCATCATTTTGTTCCACATTAATCTTAAAACAATTACAGTTTTGGAAAGGACCTACACTTAGCAGAACTGCTATGTAAACCTGGCATTACAAACAAAAGGAGCAAGTGTGCTCTCCTCGCCTGCTTTCCCAGCTCGCTTTCCTGGCTTTGCAGCATGGTACAGTCCAGCCCTGGCAGAATGACAAAAGGCTGATATGCTGCAGCACGTAGCTCTTACACACAGGCGCACACAACACATGCACACTTGCACACACGGCAGCTCCCTGTAGAAATAGGTTGCTCGCATCTCGGTTGCATTCCCCTGCTTGGATGCCTGAAGTTCACCCTTCAAAAAGCTTTAAAAGGCTTCTGGACCTACTGTACACATTAACGATGTGGAAGGTAAATGAGTTTGACTCTGTGTGTGTGTGTGTGTGTGTGTGTGTGTGTGTGTGTATTCATTACACACTCATTTTACACATACGTACACTGAGGCATTTATAACTCCATATAATGAAATGTGGATTATGTTTTTAAACTGTGCAGATTACTATTATTTTAATGGACACACAGGTCTGATATACTTGACAATATAAAATGTGCTTCCTGCAGAGATGTCTTCCCCCCCTTATCATTTTCTAATAAAATACAATTCTAATCTATCTAGATTAACTAATTTTGAAATCCAAAAACCAAACACTGTAGTCTTACATTCAGCAGACTTGCCTAAACTCTGGAAAACAGTCAAAACTGAGCAAGATCTTGAAGCATGATTTTGCTGAACATAAAAAGCCAGTGTGTCAGAATACAACAAGATTTAGTCTGTCTTTTCACACTGTTTCTCTACCCTGTTCTGAGATATTTGTCAAGTTAATTGTTTCTAAAAGCGAGAGTCCCTCCTCAGTGTCCCTTTCCTTCCTTGACTTTGTCATCAGTACTCTAGTATTCTTCTATCATTTAGAAATACTCCTCCTTAACCCCACCCCCCCCAACGCTGACTGTAACTCTCTCAGACCTCTTGGAAGAAACATGCACAATGAAGAATATTAATGCAAGAGCAGAATGCTATGTAAAGCAATGTGAGTACTTTATGCTTGCTATAATCTACGGAGGCAGAAAACCAGGTACCAAAAATAACCACAACAAAGACTAGCTGTAGCCACTATCTGTGCCAACATCATAAGAAATCCTGGTGCAGCTGAAATGTGCTCTATCTCACAAATACTCATTAAAAAAATTAACACAATTTATATGCTTCCCAAATATTTCACACATATCTATCCCTTCTCTCTGCCCCTCAGTAGCTTACCCCTTTTAGACAAGCATTAACACACAAGAACATGTCTGGAGTACAAAAAAATGCATGCCAGCTTACTTCAACAAGCTTCAATTCATTCTGAAGTTGACTCTCCCCTCCCTGCTTAGGTAGATGTACTCCAAAGATTCCTTCAATTTCCAAAATGAAATGAGATACCTAAAATCATCCCCGACACAAGTCCAAACACTGAACTGGGAGGTTTAGCTGACCTGTTACCCAAACTGTTGAGTTGCCAAAGTAATTACTTAAATTAGGTTGTAAAGATTTCCTACAAAGACTACATTGCTGCATTTAGGTCTCATGTGGGATCAGTAAGTTTTTTTTATTCTGCTGAGTAAGGGCTTTCAGGAAATATTACTTCCTGAGTGTTTCACTGGTGGCCAAATTCTGGACTGCCCATAGTTGTATGATTGGGTTAGTGCTCAGCTCCGACCATCCTAGCTTGCAGGCAGGAAAAGACAGGAGGCAGATAGAGGACTGCCCATTCCCTGTATAACCTAGAGAGCTACTGAGGCATTTGACTTCATTCACATGTATTAAGACCATGAAATGTCTACCTGGTAATCAATTACAGTAAAATGCTTCTACAAGGTGACGAAGAAAACACACTCAGAAAGTCAAAATCACTTACTTTGTAAATTATGCATCGCAAATGCTTGCCCCCTTGTAATACAGCCTGAAAATACAATCCAATAACCTGAAAAATTAATTGGTTTCCTCTTATAAAAATCTCAATTAAAAAACCCACCAAACCTCCTTTTACTAGGAAGCTTCTCTGAAGCAATGAAGAAAAAAAAATTCTGAAGAAGAGACTGGTCTGCTTTCCAACCGATGTTCCATAAAAATCCCTAAAACAGCTGCAACATGCAGTGCGAAAATCCAAGCCTTCTCTCTCTTCTTAACTGCTTAAAGCTCTGTGCTGTGCAGAAGGTATCTACTTACTCTGGTTCATCATTAAAAAGTGAACCTGACTTTAGGACTGTAAAAAGGAAAAAAAAGAAACCACCACCCTCAATAGCATGCACGTCCCTCTCAGATAAAGATCTCAGTTTCATGATTAACTTGGGTAGGTTCAAATATTTGCTGAGACAGGGATTTCAGGTGGGGGAGGGGGAGATAGATTCAAAGTAAAAGTTGTCATCAGCTAACAAGTGGCCAATGCAGGGCTAACTTTCTCATTTTAGCTAAGTAAATGAGAAGACCATTGTCAGAGGCCTTAAAATAGCCTCTGTCACTGGCTGCTGAGCGCAGTGCTAAAGTCGAGAAAACACCATGAGCAGCCCAGTACAGGAAGTGGCTAACTAACTTACTGCAGAAAAAAATAAAAAATAATCAAAATCTGCCTTGAAAAGGGCTGCATCTCTTACAGCAAGCCCTGTGCAAGCACAACAGCCTGCTCGCAAGCACAGCAGCACCTCCTACATTCTCACGCTGAATCACAAATACAGGTGCTGCTTGAAGGTCCTTAGCATGACACAGTGAGGCATTTTATCCATTTCATATAAACTGAAAATGGTAGGAAAAACACCTGTTCCTATCCATGGAGTTTTCCAGTACGTCAGGATTGTTCATTTCTTGGGCACGCAGGCGGCAAAAGGGACTTGCACAGAGAGGAGCAGTTTAGGTCAAATGTATTTTCCTTGCCTTGGCTTTTTGTGGAGATCAGACTTGCTAAAGGAACAGAGCAGCAACTGAAGAGCTGCTCCCCTTTGCCTGCACAGGTTAACTTATTTACCAGCTATACTTTTACAAGAAAATAAATTCAAAGGGAAAGGAGAAGCAAACCACAAGATTTAATTCAGAGAAAGAAGAGAAGGGGATTATATTTTCCTACCACTTGTTGAAAGGAGTGAGAATTTCTAGTAGCTGTGTTGCTTGAGATCAGCTTGTGCTGGTTATGACAGTCAAATGGCACTGAAACATTTTCACCTCCTGAAGATTCCACCTACAAAATCCTGCTATACTGCAAAATGCCAAACCCACTTTTACCTCATAATGAAATCCCAAATACTTGCACTATATTTTTAATGTTTTACAGTTGATTGACTAGCTTCACCTATAACAATCCCTTGCTTTTCTAGTTTTAGCTTTTGCTCAGTTGAACAACTGTCAGTTCCATATAAAACTTAAAGCAGCTCAGTCATAAAGGTACAGCCTGCTGCACATGGTGATGGTAACCAGTGTTTCTGAACTAATCCAACTTCTGACAGTAGCGGATGTACCTCCTATTTACTTTTAAAATTACAGAAGGGGTTGATAATACAACTTGGTTTATAGGGCCACAATACAGAATATTCTCAAAGGAGAAAAGACAATGCAAAAAAGTAAAAAATCTTGTAAAAAAAAAGATACTGGCATGCCCACACAACTGCCCTATTTTTAACTTTTATTTCAATTTAAATTTCAAAACCTTGAGTGGTGCCCATTGAATCGATAGGTTTTTATTTACATAAAGTCAGCAGCCTGTTATTTTTGCAGTCATATTGAGAGTGTTATTCTACCTATAAAGCATTTTTTTTCCTAAAAAATGATGAATGAAGCAGAAAGAGAACTGATCAGGCTTGCAGGTATGTGTTGCACCTACCTACACACAAACACACACACATATACAGGTATAAATATGTACAAAATTTTAATAACGTCGTAGAGGCTGTTTCAACCAAATAATTCTAATTTCCTCCAAATTCCAACACGGCCGCACACGCTGCTACCCCCAAGGTTCTGAGGAAGGCGGCGCCTCGTGCTGCCTAGGGTCGGGCGGTGACGCTCACGGCCCATTCGCTGCGCAGAGGCGCCCCCTGCCGGGCAAGACGCGGAAGCGCAATGCCTCCTCACGTTACCCGGTGCGGCGCCGGCTCTACCCGGCCCGGCGGCCTCTGGACCCTCTGACCCGCGCTCGGCCCTGCCGGCCGCCCGGGCGAGCCTGTGACGGGAGGCAGGGAACGACGGGGCCGTGGGCCAA